TTGTTCCTACAGCCACTGTCCCCTGGTTGTAACGGGGACGTGCCCTCCTGGCCATAATGGTCCGTCATCAGGAGCCAAAGAAGACAACAAGGCCTCTCGGAGGAGAGTTTCCAAAAGTAGGGAACCTCCACAGACTCTGGGCTTCAGTGAGTGGCTTGCCCTTAGAAGTCTCATGGCCACACAGGATCCACAAGGGAATCCATTTGGAGACCACTTCTCCTTCGGGACTCTGCTCCCATGGGACCGCTTCCATTGCTAGGCTTCCAGGGCACGGGCCGGCTTGTAACTGGCAGACCCCAATAGGCATTTTCTTAAGGACATTGGCACTGGGACATCCACCAGTCTAATAGGGAAGGTATTATCCAGTGCTGTTGATTATATTTCCGGATATGCCTGCTGCCTTTCCTGCTTACAGAGTTGCTATGTCCCTTCTTCTTCTTCTTGTACCCTTTGCTATTACTGCCGTTACTTCACTCTGCTGGTTGTTTGGAGGTTTGTTTTTTTCTCGACAGAACACAGAGATACAGGGTAGGAGATGGGATCGGTTGTGTGCGCCCTCATCCTGACAGGCACATATGCACTGGCATCGAGGAGGACTATGGGTTGACTTCTCATGAGAGGAACAGAATCATGAGGAGAAGAGTCGTACGATCCATTTTTTTCATCAGATTCTATTCCGACTCCATCCCTCTCGAAAGAAACAACAAATCCAAGAAAGTTTGCAGAAAAAGGTTTAATGACCAAAAGAATAAAACACTGAATAAATAGAAAGCATCCCCACTCCCCCTGAATCACACAGGGACGGTACACCTACTAGTATACAAAGAGAACCCACTTAAGGTAGAAATAGAAATAAATAAATGAATAAATAAATAAATAAATAAATAAATAAATAAATAAATAAATCAACGAATCAGCAGTCAGTAGAGAGATGGGCACGGTTATCTGAAAGTAAGCGGTGTTTGTCGACTTGACTTCATGGCGCTGCCCCGTCCTGAACACTTTCGACACCCCGATTGCCTTCGTGTCACCGTGATGGCAGACGTGAGCTTCTCTGAGGTGGCAGGACACGTGCAAGTGTGCTCTGATCAGTTAGGGAATGTCATTTCCGTGCGGACCTGGGCGCGTCTCATTTCCTCCTCCTGATTCTTTCTTGCAAGATTGTCGAGGAGAAGAAGGATCTCCCGATTTCTGCTCGGACCATCTCCCAGGCACACGGGCTGTGGTTCTTGTCTTGCAGGTAGAGGGAGATCCTCTGGAAGTAGGTCCTCAGGGTGGAGTCGTCATGCGTGAGGGGGGTCTCGGCCAGCCCCACTTCCTGCAGGGGACAGGCCTCCAGGTCATCCAGCTGCTCCGAGAGCCCCGAGCACAGTTCCTCCAGGAGAGTCATGTTCCAAGGAGCAGAGGACGTGTCCGTGCAGAAGAGGTGGAAGACCTTCTGGGTCATCACGTGGACCACAGAGAGGGCCTGCGCCTCCTGGAGCCGCTGGCCATCAAACAGCTCCTTGGGGAAGGCAAAGTCATTGGTGTAGTGGTCACAAGAGCCGGCGGAGAGTCTCCTCATCTGTCCCAGGAGCGTCAGGACCCTCCAGTTGCGCAGGCCGTGGGTGTCGGGCAGGTCGCAAGCCAGACTGCACAGGGAGTGGCAGCTGAGCAGCACCAGGGCCACCGAGAAGGAGCAGGGCACGGCCATCGGGGATCCTGCAGGGGCTGTGGGCCTGGCTGTGCTGGGCAAGTGTGGGAACCGCGGCTCCAGCTTCTCTGAGCATCTTCCCTCGTGTGTGGGGCTTAAGTAGGCCACAGACGCGTTTTCCATTTCTGAACGTCTCCCTCACTTTCTACTTCTCTTTTTGCTTTCCTTTATGATGCACTTTCGACTGGCTCTAGAGCACTGTTTCCCAACTACATGGGCGGCGTGCTTGTCATGACTGCCCTTGCCTCCAGAGTCTTCTGGATTGGCTTTTCACGCATCATCCAGAAAAGTTCGGAACCCGGATGCGCTGTCTCTAGAGTACAGTGTATGTCCCATGCTCCTATCTGAACTGTGTACACACACAACCCCGTGTCGGTTGACCCGTCTCATGTGAAGGCGAAGCAGGGTTAAGGATGTCTAACGCTGGTAAGCATGAAGGCCAATTGTTAGGCTTCCGACGTGGAATGGGATGGCCAACGTTGTAGAGTGACCTATCGAGTACTGAGAGGTACGTGATTTCTGATACGGAAAGCACATATGCAGGTGAATCATGTCTACAAGGACAAGAGAATGAACGCAGAGTCTCTCACAAGTTAGGACGATGCCAAACTGCTGATAGGAATCGAACAGTTGAATTACTTCCCTGACATGTGTTTCTCCTGTAAGGCCATTTCATGTTGCCTCGGCTGACAAAGTGATCTCTTGCCTCCCCTGCGACTCCGTACTCATCAAGGTGTTTTCAAAACTCCTTTTGTTGTGTTTCGCACTGTGTACAGTTACTGATGCGTTGACTGTCTTTCGTAACGTCAAACGATCATGTAGAATCCCTTTGTTCTGAAATGCTGAGAGCCCACATCACCTCCAGGCTCACACGGGAGCCACATCCACAAAGCGCCAAAGGTAGCTCCCAAGTCAGCCAGGGCCACCTCACCCAGTGACGTTGAGATCCAGGAACGGATGGAGAGAAAGTCCTCTGCTCACAGGGGCCTGTCATTCCTAGGTGTGTCGCCCTCCTCTGCACACATTTCAGGGCTCTTCCATTAATTCAATGGCCATGCTTCTTGTGTGGTACTCAAGAAAGCCCAAGGAGAGACAACGAACAGGAAGGAAGAAGCTTTGGCTGGGGCCCTCGCAGACTGAGCTTTGGAGAGCCTACAGACCACTGGACTACCTAAGACTAGTTCACAGAGCTCAGAATCTTGGAAGCCTTGTCACAGGGATTCCCTCTGGTGGCTGAAGGTTCATTTTCAGGGACTCTATGCAGATACAGACCACGGATGTTGGGAAAGTCTATCTCGCATTTATTTTTCTGTGCAGCTAACTACTCGTAGAAGACATCTTGATTTTTAGAGAAAGAGAGTGAGAGAGAGAGTGAAAGCAATATATAGAGCAGCATGAGGGATCCCTGGGTGGCGCAGCGATTTGGCGCCTGCCTTTGGCTCAGGGCGCGATCCTGGAGACCCGGGATCGAGTCCCACGTCAGGCTCCCGGTGCATGGAGCCTGCTTCTCCCTCTGCCTATGTCTCTGCCTCTCTCTCTCTCTCTCCCTGTGTGACTATCATAAATAAATAAAAATTAAAAAAAAATAGAGCAGCATGAGCAGGGGAGGAGAGGGAGTAGCAGTCACGCAACTGAGAAGGAGCCCGAAGACAGGCTCATCCAAGGACCCTGGGATTGGCGATCTAGCCAAAGACAGATGCCTCATGGAACGAGCCACCCAGGTGCCCCAGGGACAAGGAATCCTCTGCAGTCTCTGCACTTGTGGGGAGCCTGATGTGGGGTTCCATCCAACCACCCTGAGATGAGGCACTCAGCTGAAACCAAGATCTGCCTGCTTACCGACCTTGCCAACCACATTGCCTACCTCGCTGCTCTTTGGAACACTGTATTTTCCAGAGGGGGGGAGAGAGAGAGAGGAGAGAGAGAGAGAGAGAGACAGAGAGAGAGAGAGACAGAGATATGCTGAGGAAATGGCTTTTTACAGTCTCTGAATCCGTTCCTTCTGAGAAAAGGCTGTTTTTACCTCTGGAGATGAATCATCCAGCAGGGGCAGCCTGATGCAGAGAACACAAGCCAGGTGTCCAGGCCTGGTCACTATCTCAGTGCATTGCTGGCTGTAGGGGGCAGTCTTCTGCTGGAGAGCATCGGACAGACCACCGAGTCCAATCCTCCCGCTTTGTCTTTGCTTGTTCCTACAGCCACTGTCCCCTGGTTGTAACGGGGACGTGCCCTCCTGGCCATAATGGTCCGTCATCAGGAGCCAAAGAAGACAACAAGGCCTCTCGGAGGAGAGTTTCCAAGAAGTAGGGAACCTCCACAGACTCTGGGCTTCAGTGAGTGGCTTGCCCTTAGAAGTCTCATGGCCACACAGGATCCACAAGGGAATCCATTTGGAGACCACTTCTCCTTCGGGACTCTGCTCCCATGGGACCGCTTCCATTGCTAGGCTTCCAGGGCACGGGCCGGCTTGTAACTGGCAGACCCCAATAGGCATTTTCTTAAGGACATTGGCACTGGGACATCCACCAGTCTAATAGGGAAGGTATTATCCAGTGCTGTTGATTATATTTCCGGATATGCCTGCTGCCTTTCCTGCTTACAGAGTTGCTATGTCCCTTCTTCTTCTTCTTGTACCCTTTGCTATTACTGCCGTTACTTCACTCTGCTGGTTGTTTGGAGGTTTGTTTTTTTCTCGACAGAACACAGAGATACAGGGTAGGAGATGGGATCGGTTGTGTGCGCCCTCATCCTGACAGGCACATATGCACTGGCATCGAGGAGGACTATGGGTTGACTTCTCATGAGAGGAACAGAATCATGAGGAGAAGAGTCGTACGATCCATTTTTTTCATCAGATTCTATTCCGACTCCATCCCTCTCGAAAGAAACAACAAATCCAAGAAAGTTTGCAGAAAAAGGTTTACTGACCAAAAGAATAAAACACTGAATAAATAGAAAGCATCCCCAACTCCCCCTGAATCACACAGGGACGGTACACCTACTAGTATACAAAGAGAACCCACTTAAGGTAGAAATAGAAATAAATAAATAAATAAATAAATAAATAAATAAATAAATAAATAAATCAACGAATCAGCAGTCAGTAGAGAGATGGGCACGGTTATCTGAAAGTAAGCGGTGTTTGTCGACTTGACTTCATGGCGCTGCCCCGTCCTGAACACTTTCGACACCCCGATTGCCTTCGTGTCACCGTGATGGCAGACGTGAGCTTCTCTGAGGTGGCAGGACACGTGCAAGTGTGCTCTGATCAGTTAGGGAATGTCATTTCCGTGCGGACCTGGGCGCGTCTCATTTCCTCCTCCTGATTCTTTCTTGCAAGATTGTCGAGGAGAAGAAGGATCTCCCGATTTCTGCTCGGACCATCTCCCAGGCACACGGGCTGTGGTTCTTGTCTTGCAGGTAGAGGGAGATCCTCTGGAAGTAGGTCCTCAGGGTGGAGTCGTCATGCGTGAGGGGGGTCTCGGCCAGCCCCACTTCCTGCAGGGGACAGGCCTCCAGGTCATCCAGCTGCTCCGAGAGCCCCGAGCACAGTTCCTCCAGGAGAGTCATGTTCCAAGGAGCAGAGGACGTGTCCGTGCAGAAGAGGTGGAAGACCTTCTGGGTCATCACGTGGACCACAGAGAGGGCCTGCGCCTCCTGGAGCCGCTGGCCATCAAACAGCTCCTTGGGGAAGGCAAAGTCATTGGTGTAGTGGTCACAAGAGCCGGCGGAGAGTCTCCTCATCTGTCCCAGGAGCGTCAGGACCCTCCAGTTGCGCAGGCCGTGGGTGTCGGGCAGGTCGCAAGCCAGACTGCACAGGGAGTGGCAGCTGAGCAGCACCAGGGCCACCGAGAAGGAGCAGGGCACGGCCATCGGGGATCCTGCAGGGGCTGTGGGCCTGGCTGTGCTGGGCAAGTGTGGGAACCGCGGCTCCAGCTTCTCTGAGCATCTTCCCTCGTGTGTGGGGCTTAAGTAGGCCACAGACGCGTTTTCCATTTCTGAACGTCTCCCTCACTTTCTACTTCTCTTTTTGCTTTCCTTTATGATGCACTTTCGACTGGCTCTAGAGCACTGTTTCCCAACTACATGGGCGGCGTGCTTGTCATGACTGCCCTTGCCTCCAGAGTCTTCTGGATTGGCTTTTCACGCATCATCCAGAAAAGTTCGGAACCCGGATGCGCTGTCTCTAGAGTACAGTGTATGTCCCATGCTCCTATCTGAACTGTGTACACACACAACCCCGTGTCGGTTGACCCGTCTCATGTGAAGGCGAAGCAGGGTTAAGGATGTCTAACGCTGGTAAGCATGAAGGCCAATTGTTAGGCTTCCGACGTGGAATGGGATGGCCAACGTTGTAGAGTGACCTATCGAGTACTGAGAGGTACGTGATTTCTGATACGGAAAGCACATATGCAGGTGAATCATGTCTACAAGGACAAGAGAATGAACGCAGAGTCTCTCACAAGTTAGGACGATGCCAAACTGCTGATAGGAATCGAACAGTTGAATTACTTCCCTGACATGTGTTTCTCCTGTAAGGCCATTTCATGTTGCCTCGGCTGACAAAGTGATCTCTTGCCTCCCCTGCGACTCCGTACTCATCAAGGTGTTTTCAAAACTCCTTTTGTTGTGTTTCGCACTGTGTACAGTTACTGATGCGTTGACTGTCTTTCGTAACGTCAAACGATCATGTAGAATCCCTTTGTTCTGAAATGCTGAGAGCCCACATCACCTCCAGGCTCACACGGGAGCCACATCCACAAAGCGCCAAAGGTAGCTCCCAAGTCAGCCAGGGCCACCTCACCCAGTGACGTTGAGATCCAGGAACGGATGGAGAGAAAGTCCTCTGCTCACAGGGGCCTGTCATTCCTAGGTGTGTCGCCCTCCTCTGCACACATTTCAGGGCTCTTCCATTAATTCAATGGCCATGCTTCTTGTGTGGTACTCAAGAAAGCCCAAGGAGAGACAACGAACAGGAAGGAAGAAGCTTTGGCTGGGGCCCTCGCAGACTGAGCTTTGGAGAGCCTACAGACCACTGGACTACCTAAGACTAGTTCACAGAGCTCAGAATCTTGGAAGCCTTGTCACAGGGATTCCCTCTGGTGGCTGAAGGTTCATTTTCAGGGACTCTATGCAGATACAGACCACGGATGTTGGGAAAGTCTATCTCGCATTTATTTTTCTGTGCAGCTAACTACTCGTAGAAGACATCTTGATTTTTAGAGAAAGAGAGTGAGAGAGAGAGTGAAAGCAATATATAGAGCAGCATGAGGGATCCCTGGGTGGCGCAGCGATTTGGCGCCTGCCTTTGGCTCAGGGCGCGATCCTGGAGACCCGGGATCGAGTCCCACGTCAGGCTCCCGGTGCATGGAGCCTGCTTCTCCCTCTGCCTATGTCTCTGCCTCTCTCTCTCTCTCTCCCTGTGTGACTATCATAAATAAATAAAAATTAAAAAAAAATAGAGCAGCATGAGCAGGGGAGGAGAGGGAGTAGCAGTCACGCAACTGAGAAGGAGCCCGAAGACAGGCTCATCCAAGGACCCTGGGATTGGCGATCTAGCCAAAGACAGATGCCTCATGGAACGAGCCACCCAGGTGCCCCAGGGACAAGGAATCCTCTGCAGTCTCTGCACTTGTGGGGAGCCTGATGTGGGGTTCCATCCAACCACCCTGAGATGAGGCACTCAGCTGAAACCAAGATCTGCCTGCTTACCGACCTTGCCAACCACATTGCCTACCTCGCTGCTCTTTGGAACACTGTATTTTCCAGAGGGGGGGAGAGAGAGAGAGGAGAGAGAGAGAGAGAGAGACAGAGAGAGAGAGAGACAGAGATATGCTGAGGAAATGGCTTTTTACACTCTCTGAATCCGTTCCTTCTGAGAAAAGGCTGTTTTTACCTCTGGAGATGAATCATCCAGCAGGGGCAGCCTGATGCAGAGAACACAAGCCAGGTGTCCAGGCCTGGTCCACTATCTCAGTGCATTGCTGGCTGTAGGGGGCAGTCTTCTGCTGGAGAGCATCGGACAGACCACCGAGTCCAATCCTCCCGCTTTGTCTTTGCTTGTTCCTACAGCCACTGTCCCCTGGTTGTAACGGGGACGTGCCCTCCTGGCCATAATGGTCCGTCATCAGGAGCCAAAGAAGACAACAAGGCCTCTCGGAGGAGAGTTTCCAAGAAGTAGGGAACCTCCACAGACTCTGGGCTTCAGTGAGTGGCTTGCCCTTAGAAGTCTCATGGCCACACAGGATCCACAAGGGAATCCATTTGGAGACCACTTCTCCTTCGGGACTCTGCTCCCATGGGACCGCTTCCATTGCTAGGCTTCCAGGGCACGGGCCGGCTGTAACTGGCAGACCCCAATAGGCATTTTCTTAAGGACATTGGCACTGGGACATCCACCAGTCTAATAGGGAAGGTATTATCCAGTGCTGTTGATTATATTTCCGGATATGCCTGCTGCCTTTCCTGCTTACAGAGTTGCTATGTCCCTTCTTCTTCTTCTTTTACCCTTTGCTATTACTGCCGTTTACTTCACTCTGCTGGTTGTTTGGAGGTTTGTTTTTTTCTCGACAGAACTCAGAGATACAGGGTAGGAGATGGGATCGGTTGTGTGCGCCCTCATCCTGACAGGCACATATGCACTGGCATCGAGGAGGACTATGGGTTGACTTCTCATGAGAGGAACAGAATCATGAGGAGAAGAGTCGTACGATCCATTTTTTTCATCAGATTCTATTCCGACTCCATCCCTCTCGAAAGAAACAACAAATCCAAGAAAGTTTGCAGAAAAAGGTTTAATGACCAAAAGAATAAAACACTGAATAAATAGAAAGCATCCCCACTCCCCCTGAATCACACAGGGACGGTACACCTACTAGTATACAAAGAGAACCCACTTAAGGTAGAAATAGAAATAAATAAATGAAATAAATAAATAAATAAATAAATAAATAAATAAATAAATAAATAAATAAATCAACGAATCAGCAGTCAGTAGAGAGATGGGCACGGTTATCTGAAAGTAAGCGGTGTTTGTCGACTTGACTTCATGGCGCTGCCCCGTCCTGAACACTTTCGACACCCCGATTGCCTTCGTGTCACACCGTGATGGCAGACGTGAGCTTCTCTGAGGTGGCAGGACACGTGCAAGTGTGCTCTGATCAGTCAGTAGGGAATGTCATTTCCGTGCGGACCTGGGCGCGTCTCATTTCCTCCTCCTGATTCTTTCTTGCAAGATTGTCGAGGAGAAGAAGGATCTCCCGATTTCTGCTCGGACCATCTCCCAGGCACACGGGCTGTGGTTCTTGTCTTGCAGGTAGAGGGAGATCCTCTGGAAGTAGGTCCTCAGGGTGGAGTCGTCATGCGTGAGGGGGGTCTCGGCCAGCCCCACTTCCTGCAGGGGACAGGCCTCCAGGTCATCCAGCTGCTCCGAGAGCCCCGAGCACAGTTCCTCCAGGAGAGTCATGTTCCAAGGAGCAGAGGACGTGTCCGTGCAGAAGAGGTGGAAGACCTTCTGGGTCATCACGTGGACCACACAGAGAGGGCCTGCGCCTCCTGGAGCCGCTGGCCATCAAACAGCTCCTTGGGGAAGGCAAAGTCATTGGTGTAGTGGTCACAAGAGCCGGCGGAGAGTCTCCTCATCTGTCCCAGGAGCGTCAGGACCCTCCAGTTGCGCAGGCCGTGGGTGTCGGGCAGGTCGCAAGCCAGACTGCACAGGGAGTGGCAGCTGAGCAGCACCAGGGCCACCGAGAAGGAGCAGGGCACGGCCATCGGGGATCCTGCAGGGGCTGTGGGCCTGGCTGTGCTGGGCAAGTGTGGGAACCGCGGCTCCAGCTCTCTCTGAGCATCTTCCCTCGTGTGTGGGGCTTAAGTAGGCCACAGACGCGTTTTCCATTTCTGAACGTCTCCCTCACTTTCTACTTCTCTTTTTGCTTTCCTTTATGATGCACTTTCGACTGGCTCTAGAGCACTGTTTCCCAACTACATGGGCGGCGTGCTTGTCATGACTGCCCTTGCCTCCAGAGTCTTCTGGATTGGCTTTTCACGCATCATCCAGAAAAGTTCGGAACCCGGATGCGCTGTCTCTAGAGTACAGTGTATGTCCCATGCTCCTATCTGAACTGTGTACACACACAACCCCGTGTCGGTTGACCCGTCTCATGTGAAGGCGAAGCAGGGTTAAGGATGTCTAACGCTGGTAAGCATGAAGGCCAATTGTTAGGCTTCCGACGTGGAATGGGATGGCCAACGTTGTAGAGTGACCTATCGAGTACTGAGAGGTACGTGATTTCTGATACGGAAAGCACATATGCAGGTGAATCATGTCTACAAAGACAAGAGAATGAACGCAGAGTCTCTCACAAGTTAGGACGATGCCAAACTGCTGATAGGAATCGAACAGTTGAATTACTTCCCTGACATGTGTTTCTCCTGTAAGGCCATTTCATGTTGCCTCGGCTGACAAAGTGATCTCTTGCCTCCCCTGCGACTCCGTACTCATCAAGGTGTTTTCAAAACTCCCTTTGTTGTGTGTTTCGCACTGTGTACAGTTACTGATGCGTTGACTGTCTTTCGTAACGTCAAACGATCATGTAGAATCCCTTTGTTCTGAAATGCTGAGAGCCCACATCACCTCCAGGCTCACACGGGAGCCACATCCACAAAGTACTCCATGGGTGAGTTTTGGAGATCCACAAACCATTATTATATTGAGGACTAGGTTACAGCCCTTCGAATCTCTTTTTATAGCCTTGGAGGCCTTGTATAACTTCTCTCGGGGGAGATACTGATTTTCAGGGATACTATGCATGTCGACAATGTGGGTATATATGAACAGTCTTGCGATCTTGTACTCAGTTAGCTGTGAAGCTAACTGCTCTTTTGGAAAGCTTTTTTTTTTTTTTTTTTTTTTTTTTTTTTTTACGATAGGCACACAGTGAGACAGAGAGGGAGGTAGAG